GAAACAGGTTGACCCCACATGATGGAGCGTTGTCCTTTTGGGTGTACAAGTTCTTTTTTTACTACACGTGGAAAGTCGTGGCTTTTGAGGCACAATGCGTTTGTTTACAAATTCCCCACAAACTTTATGTTTACACTAAATGCATTATTACACAAATGTTCTTATTGTTTTCTGTTAATTCTGTTTTAAGCTAAGCAGAACAAAAGAACGTTTAAGAAATATAAATTATTTTTAGAAATATTTTACTCTGGTAATTCTATTTGCGCTCAAAATAAATTGTGAAATTGTGTAATAATTAACGTTCCATGCATATTTTTGTCATTTAAAAACTTGCATCCAATTAAATTCAGGTTCAGAGTAAGAAAAGCAGAGGGGGAGGGAGGGGTGAAGGTAATGGGGTCGGCCTGCCCTGCCATGAGGTGTCCCTTATTTATTTTTCAATAGTTTGGATCGTAATTTTTCTGAGCTGGCAACCCTAGTACGGTACACAGGGTCCCAGTCCAACAAAAGTATAAAATGCAAAAGAAAAACATTTATAATATCCAAGATACGAACTAAGAAAAACCATCCATCCATCCATCCCTCCATTATCTTTACCCGCTTATTCCATTTTGGGTCACGGGGGTCGCCGGCCCATGTCCAGCAATCACTGTGCGAGGGGCGGGGGACACCCTGGACGGGCCGCAAGTCCATCACAGGGACACATAGAGACAAACAAACATTCACTCTCTCACTCACACCTAGGGACAATTTAGAGTTACCAATCAGTCTAACATGCATGTTTTTGGTCTGTGGGAGGAAACCGGAGTACCCGGAGAAAACCCACGCATGCACGGAGAGAACATGCAAACTCCACCCAGAAAGGCCCCTGGACCGGGGTTTGAACCAAGGACCTGCTCGCTGAGAGGCAGCAGCTCTACCAGTTGCGCCACCGTGCTGCCCGCTAAGAAAAACAATAACTAAAAATACACTAAGCACTATTTGTACCAAAACAATACGGCGAACAGCAGCACGAACATGAGTCTGTGTGAGCAAATGAACACAGCAGCGTGAAATACATCAGCATGACGTCATTTTTTTCACCGTGATTATCTAAATTAATATGAAATTTTGTAGCTTTGTAAAGTTTAAAAGTTTTATTATTATTATTATTATTATTATTATTATTATTAATAAAAATTACAAAATCACTACAGGCATTAACAATCTGCTCACAGACTCATGTTCGTGCTGCTGTTCGCCGTATTGTTTTGGATCAAATAGTGCTTAGTGTATTTTTAGTTATTGTTTTTCTTAGTTCATATCTTAGATCTTATTACAGTTTTTCTTTTACATTTTATTGTTGGATGCAATTGGGACCCTGTGAACTAAATTTAGCTCCACCACATGTCGTGCGAACAACAATAAAGAAACTCTTCTGAATACTAAAAAAAAGCTAGAATTATCCATAAACCAAGGGTTTAATACCTTTTTGGACCAGTTGATGGTAGTATAAGTCTGTTTGAATCTATATATATATATATAGTTGTTGTTTTTTTAATCCAAGAATACCTTCTTTAGTATCAACAGAAGGATTTATTTTAATATTCACCATATGAGGAAAGGAAATCTTCAGCATACGTGTTTTATTTATAAAACCTTTGGTACAAAATATATTTATTTGAAACGTGTATCAATAAGACGCGACACAAACAGGAGAAAGGTGTCATTTCTAAAGTCACCTGCAAACACATTTCAAAAACACCTGCTCCTAAAGTTTCATATACAGTAACTGTTACTATCAGGGTTTATTTTCAGTCTTTATTCAGTAATTAGTCATTATATTAGAACATAAACCTGGAGCTAAAAATGCTATTAAAAGCATTTTAAAGTGAATTATCTTTGGGGTTTTTGTTCAGACCTAACTATTCAACCTTTATTTAGACAGGTAAATCCCATTGAGCCTAAATAAAGGTTGAATAGTTAGGTCTAAAGAAAACCCCCAAAGATAATTAACTTTAACTAAACCTGCAGCAACCAAATTCAAAACCTTTCCTTGACATTTTATATCCAAATATATTTTATATTAGTTATCCAACTAATGTATAAATATTAGCTGGAGGTAAACAAGGTGAGAACTTGGTTCATAGCAGTGAGTCGGACTGTTCAAACAGCCAGAGGACAGAAGGAGTCCGGTTCAGTGGCCTCAGGTTTCTGTCTCTATTTGCAGATGATGTCGTGATCTTCAGTTCTCACTGGAGCGGTTTGCAGCTGAGTGTGAAGCAGCTGGGACGAGGATCAGAACCCCCAAATCTGAGGAAGTCCAGGGTGGACTGCCCCGTCGGGTTGGGAGTGAGGTTCTGCTTCAAGTGGAGTTTAAGTCTTTGGGTTTTGTTCATGAATGAGAGAAGAAGAATGATCGGTGCAGCTTCAGCGCTGTTGTGGACTCTGTGCCGGTCCATTGTGGTGAAAAGGAAGGTGAAGCTCTCTGTTTACTGAAGCTCTGGTCTACGTTCCAACCCTCACCTGAGGTTACGAACTCTGAGATGTGACAGAAAGAACAAGACTGCAGACACAGGTGATGTCCACGTCCAACTGGGAGGGGACCCACAGGAAGACCCAGAACATCTGGAGAGTCTACGTCTCTCAGCTGTCCTGGGAACGTCCTGCAGTCCTCCCAGAAGAGCTGGAAGAGAGAGCTTTGGAAAGAGAAGTCTGGAGCTCCCTGCTGAAGCTGCAGACCCAGAGGGGGTCTGGGGGGTCCTGAGGTCACGACTCGGGGTTTATGCAAGAGGCAGCCGGTAGCTAAAAGGATGTCTAAGTTTTTGTTGATCCTTCGCAGCTGCTCGGAGGGAGGACGAGAGTCCCCAGAGAACCAGTCCAATGATCTCCTGCTGATTATTACAAACCTGGTGTTTTCACAGAGACAGTTAGTTGATGTGACGTTAGATGATGTGACGTTAGTTGATGTGACGTTAGATGATGTGACGTTAGATGATGTGACGTTAGATGATCTGTAGGACTTATTGAGTCAAACATGGGAGGGTTTGTCTTAAAATACTCAGGAATCTATTTCTCTCTGTTTATCCAGGGAGCAACACGTCCAGGAGGGAAACCCGCGCAAGCATGTACGGGAGGACTTTAGCAATAATTTAGCAAGATTTACACTTAAAAACAATTATTTGTTTGCTCGAAATTATAGTAAAGGTGTGTCTCAGTCTAACTTTTTCTTAATTGATGCACTTTGACAGTCAAATCAGCTGCATTTTCAAAAGCCAATATGCGGAAACGAATGCGCAGAGGGCGACTTGCTGTGCATTTCTTCGAAACTTAACAAGATAAGCACCTAAAAACAATTATTTGTTTGCTCGACTTTACAGTAAAGGTGTGTCTCAGTTGAACTTTTACTCAATAGATGCACTTTGACGTTAAAATCAGCTTCATTTCACCGGGGCGGCGCAGAGAAATGAAGCTGATAACGGTTGTTCCAGGCAGACGACGGTGGCAGACTATGGCAAGCTGATTGTGTCATTAATAGCCACCTTTACCTATTACATGACACAACGGCATGCCATACACCTCGAGTGCTATCTAGCGGCTGAAAATGGTAGTCGCTTCAGCTTCTGAGTCTGCCCCAGGATAACCCCCAGATACCTGAACCACCTCCTTTGTCTCCTTTAGACGTTGAGGAGCAGCGGTTGTACTCCGAGCCCCCCCCCCCCCCCCCGGGTGATGGAGCTCCTCAGTTTGTCACTTCTCAGCAGATGAAGCTCTTTTTAGTCACTTGTATCCAGGATCTTGTTCTGTCAGTCATGATCCGTACCTCATGAGCAAAGCAGAGGGATAGAATGAAGGTGAACCAGTAAATTGAGAGCTTTTCATTTTGGCTCAGCTTTTCCATCACCATGACCAACTGGAGCAACTCTCTCATTACTGCAGACGAGGCCCCGATCCATCTCCTGCTCCATCTGATCATCACTCAGTAGCAAGACTCCGAGATACTTGAACTTCTCCACCTGAGACTCATCCCTGGCCTGGAGGGAGCATTACCCCCCTTTTCTCTACAAAGTCTTCCCCTTAACATGGAGCAGGTCTTTGAGCACCCCCCGATGTGGGGGGCATTAGTCCGGTAGGGTCTCCCATGGCAAACTGAGGGGTCAGAATAAGAGTGATTTGAAGACCGTGGTGGACAAAAATAATTTTCATCAGGATACGTCTCCCAGGGGAACCCCCTGGAGCGGGTCTTGGAGGGTGGAGCTCCCCATCTAGTGTCAGGTGGTTGAGTGAGCCTTGGCTCCAGGCCAAAACCAGAAGAGAAACAGGAGGCCACCTCCACGTGGGCCCGCCACCTGCCAAGGTCTGGTGACGTGGGAGCTGGACTGCAAGCCAAGGAGGGTCTCTGGGGGGGCGGATTCTTGGCAACACTAAAAATGTCAAATCTCATTGTAAAGTTCAGGAAGCTCTTTTTCTTTAACATTCTAAACTTTACTGATACACAAAACAATACGTAACATATCTTGTTATCCAGTGACGTTAAGTCAGGTCCTCTGGACAGTTTCTTTGTGTTGAAATGTTTCGTCTTTCATCCAAAGGACTTCATCAGTCCGAGGAGCCACAACAAACTCGGTCCCACAAGCAGCACACTCACGTAGTGGACCAACCAGTTTGACGGTGATAATAACAAAAAGAAACCGTCCAGAGGACCTGACTTAACGTTGTTGGATTTTCCACCTGGATTATTGAGCGTGAACTTTGATATGTTGTTATTGTTTCTCTAGGGACCAAACGAGGGAGGATGATGAGATCGTCTTCACCACAGCTTGGATGAACAACGCATCAGCTGTTTCCATCCTTACTGTCATCGGCCTCACTTTGATTACAATTACAGCGTTAACGACATCAGTAACAGGTGATGTAGACAAATAAAAACAATCAGGACAGAGCAGCTCGAGTACAAAGACGACCTCCAACCGTTATCACAGTCTGATCAGGGACATCTCAGTATTTGTATCTGGCAGCGCTTTGAGGTTTTCCACAGTCTTCACAGATCCTCGGAATGATTTAAATGTTTGTAGAGTTTGAAACAAGCTATCCAAACCTGTATTTGGGCCAGTATTTGACCTGTATGCGTCTCGGGGCAGTTCTTGGTGGGACTTTAGGCGGAGTTGGTGGAGTTTTCCTTCTCTCTTTGCTCCTTTCTGTGATTTTGAAGCCACTTTCATTTTTCTTATGAAAGCTGGCCCTGGGTAAGAAGTGGGTGGAGACGTGCTGGGATTTGACCCGTGGGCTGGAGCCCATTTTAGCTTTCCCCCTCTTGTTGAGGGCCACAAACCACTCACGACCAGTCCTTTGGTTCCTGTGGGTCACAGAGGCGTACGTGTTGTAACTGTTCTCCTGGAAACGCTCCCTGAACTTACAGTCGTCTGAGAAAAATTCCTACAAAAAGAGAATAAACAGAAGTTATTAGCAAGTTTTATGTCTGCGTGTTGGATCATTTAATTGAAAATTAGAATAACTGTAAACACCGAGTCAGCATTTACACTTTTGTTGTTCTTGTTTTTTATGTCTAATTGTGCACACTTTGTGCAGTTTGAATTGTTAATCTATGAAAATGTTCCCCCCAGTAGGAAGATGGGTGCCAGTGGAGAATTTAGCCTCTTTTTAGGGGTGCTCAAGCACCCCTAAATGTGAACTCAGCACCCCTGAAAAGTAAATAAACCCTCATTGGGATTTTGTAAGGAAGCTCAGTTCTCAAACCTTAGATTCATCAAAATATTATCAGTAAGATCTTAAATACAAGATGGAGCTAGGTTGTTGAGAGCTTTGTAGGTTAGAAGTAAGATTTTGAATTAAATTCTGGATTTGACAGGGAGCCAATGGAGAGAAGCTAAAACTGGAGATATGATCTCTCCTACTAACTCCAGTTGACTCTGACAGCAGCATTTTGGATCAACTGAAGACTTTTAAAATAAGTATTTGGGCTCCCAGATAACAAACCATTCAAACCATTGCAATAGTCCAGTCTAGATGTGAGAAATGCATGAACCAGCTTTTCTGCATAATTTTAGATGTTTCTAATTTTAGCGATATTACTCCAGCAAACTGGAACTCCTCAGACTGATGAAGCCCTCTGGATAGAGGGTGAAACGTCTCTATAAAAAAGAAACTGTCCAGATGACCTGACTGAGAATTATTGGATTTGGTACCTGGATGACTGAGCATGAACTTTGTTACACAATTGGAAGAAAGTTCTAGTAAAATTTTTAATGTGGGGGATAAAAGACATGTCCTGATCAAAAATAACACCAAGATTTTTAACATTAGAACTGGAGGACAGATTAACGTCATCTAAGGAGGGAGAAAGACTGAAAAATTCATTCTTAAGGTGCTCGGATCCAAAAACTAAAACCTCAGTCTTGTCTGTGTTCAAAAGCAGAACATTTAGGGTCATCCAGGTTCTTGTGTATTTAAGCCATGCTTGTAGTCTAAGTATATGTATAAATATATATATATATATATATATATAGATAGATAGATATTCCTGTTTTTAGTTTTCTACATTCACCTTATAATCTAGCTGTTTTTGTTACTTTTTTTTGCCATCTAATTTGTAAAAAGTAAAATCTGTATGCCTTTTTTGTGGCTGTCTATTGTTGTCGCTGTTGTCATCATTCTTTGTTAAAATCAGGTCTCTCTTGTAAATGAGTCCTCGAGGCTCAATGGGATTTACCTGTCTAAATAAAGGTTGAATGAAAAAAAAATGTATAAAATATACATACATAAATAAAAGTATCTGTGTACAATCGGCATAACAATGAAAATTTATCCCTTGCTGTTTAATAACATTACCTAATGGGAGCATGTACAAGGTAAAGAGTATTGGTCCAAGCACTGAACCTTGAGGAACTCCATGACTAACTATGGTGTATGAAGAAGATTCATTATTTATATTTACAAAGTGGAATTTATCAAATAATAGAACCGTTCCTGTAATTCCAATATATTCAAGTCTCTGTAATAGAATATTGTGATCAACTGTATCAAATGCAGCACTGAGGTCTAACAGGACCAGCGGAGACACCTGTCCATTGTCAGAGGCCATGAGAATATCATTAGTAACTTCCACCATTGCAGATTCAGTGCTGTGGTGAGCTCTAAAACCTGACTGAAACTCTT